CTGCCTAGGAAAGCTAGGTATTGTCCAAGGTTTCTCCCAATGTAATAATCTGAAACAATGCTGCTAACAGGTTTATGGGGATGTTTGCACATGCATCTCAAGGCACAGCATTTTCTTTTGAACTTATTCATGTCACAGAGATCTTTGTTCATATGTCTTACTACTAATTTCCCCCCTACCATGATCCCATTATCCTGCCACTTCCCTTTTTCTAAGATGGTAAAGATAATGATCAATAAATACTGAGGGAACTCAGAGACCGGTGCCGGCTGGGTCCCCTGTGTGCTGAGCGCCGGTGCCCTGGGCCCACTTTTTCTTTTTCTATACTTTGTGTCTCATTTCCTTTCTCAAGTCTCCTTTTCCACCTTATGAGAAACGCCCACAGGTGTGGAGGGGCAGGCCACCCCTTCAAAAGAACAAGACTCCATCTCAAAAAGAAAAGAGAAGAGAAGAGAAAAGAAAAGAAAAGAAAAGAAAAGAAAAGAAAAGAAAAGAAAAGAAGGAGCCAGAGTAAATTTAAAACCTATACTTGAGGCCAGGTGTGGTGGCTCATGCCTGTAATCTCAGCACTTCGGGAGGCCGAAGTGGGCGGATCACCTGAGGTCACGAGTTCAAGTACAGCCTGGACAACATGGTGAAATCTCGTCTCTACTAAAAATATAAAAGCTTGTCTCAAAAAACAGAAAACCTATACTTGATAATTGGAAGTCTTTTCTGCGATGGGTTTCTTAAACCCTGTTGTTCCAAATCCTTATACCATCACAATCACCTGTAGTTACAGTAAGATATTTAAAAGATGCCTCCAGGCTTGTCCGTTCCAGAGGATAGCCAGGACCTATTTGCCTTTGAGTGAGAGACCCTGATTCTGGTGGAAAAGAGCAATACTGATGGGCAGTCTCACCCCATGGCTTTCCAAAGTCTCCAAATTTATTTTATCAAATATCAAAATGAGTCATTTAAATAAACAAAGGCAAATGCAAAACTCGGCTGGAATGGATTGAAGGCATCATATTCTGCTCTAGCTGAACTAAGAATTAGAAGTTTCAGGATTGGTCAAAAACCGGTCGTCTATACTCTTATGCCCAAAAAACAAAACCCTTATACAAAAAGCTCACACAAGACGGGCCAAAACCCCTCATTTGGCAATTACCAGAAATGCAACAAGTGGAAAGGTAAAAATCTGTTAGTAACTGCCCCTGTCGCAGCTTTACCTTCCTTAAGCAGCCATTCCTCTTTTCTCAGTATAAACAAGGGTAACCTCAGAAATACTTCAGGGCCTGGCTCGGTGGCTCACGCCTGTAATCCCAGTACTTTGGAGGCCGAGTGGGCATCGTCTCTACTAAATAAAAAGTTACCGGGTGGTGGATGAGCACAGATTCTGTTCCAGCCACTCGGGGCGGCATAGGCCAGAAGGAATTAGCCTTGAACCTAGGGAGGCAGAGGTTGCAGTGGAGCCGCGTCACATACATGAGTTACTCCGCCTGGCAAACAGAAGTCAACGACTTGTCAACAACACAAAAAAATACTACCCAAAGGCACGGAGGCATGAAAACTATCTTTACGTGCTAACTACAAACGGAGACGGCAGATGCATGATGGGTCCAAGACGCTTATTTAAAGTGCTTCCTCCCGGTGATTCAAGGAAAAGACGCAATGGGTGTTCATACTAACAGAAAAACTCTTAGTGGGAATAGAGGTAAGAGCTCCGGCTCTGTGATTCACACCTGTAATCCTCGCTCTGGGAGGCTGAGGCCAGGTGCATCACCTCAGGTAGGAGTTCGAGACAGCCTGCGTCAATCGGGGTGAAACTTACCGCCTCTACCAAATACAAAATTAAGCTGGGTGTAGTTGAGCACCTGTATACCATTACTCGGTATGAGCCTGAGGCAAGGAGAAGATCAGACTTAAACTGGGGGTGAGAGTTGCGAAGATGAGCTAGAGTCACGCCAATGAACTACCAGCCAGTGGCGACAGATACATCTATTCAAAAAAAATAAAAATAACAATAAAATAAAAAATAGACGATTGGCCAGGCACGGTGGGCTTACACCCTGTTAATCCCAGGACTTTGGGAGGCCAAGTGGGCGGATCACAAGGTCAAGGCGATCGAGAACATACATATCATATATCCTGTCCTACTGAGAAACTCTGTTTATAAAAAACCATCATAAAAAAAAAGTTTTAGCACGGTGTATGCTGGTAGGTCGCGAGCCCGTAGTCCCAGCTACTGCGGGAGACTGAGGCGGAGAATGAGCATGAACCAATGGGAGGTGGAGCTTAGCCATGAGCCAGATCGGACACGCAGCTCACTCCAGCCTGGGCGACAGAGAGAGATCCCTCTCGAAAAAAAAAAAAAAAAAATAGAGCTAAGAAGTTTCCTAATAATTGGTCTGCTTAAGCATATTGAGCTGTTTGCACTCAGCCAAGCTTAAAATACTTAGAGAACCAGGAAGGAACCATCTATACCAATTCTAAGTAATGCCTTTGAGGTGGCTTTATTACATATATATTTGTATTTTAAGCAACTGACTGAATGAAGTCTTATTAATAGCAAAGGATAATTAAAATCCCAAACTTGCAAAGTTCTCAACAAAAGTAAAGTTTGCTAGAAGTTATCAGTGTAGGCCAGGTGCGGTGGCTCATGCCTGTAATCCCAGCACCTTGGGAGGCTGAGGCGGGTGGATCACCGGAGCTCAGGAGTTCGAGACCAGCCTGGGCAACATGGTTGAAACCCCATCTCTACTATAATACAAAAAATTAGCCGAACGTGTTGGCGTGCACCTGTAATCCCAGCTACTCAGGAGGCTGAGGCAGGAGGATC